AAATAAAGTCATGTCGTTTCATCATCATCGACGTTGAATTTTTTTGCCTATCGAGATGAACGAGTTTCCATTCAGGGAGGTGCAGTGATTTGAGCGTCTGTTGGGACTTAAGCGCAACTTAGGCCTAAATTGGAACTCACTAAACATACATGAAAGTTCATCGGTTCTCTCTACTGCTCCAGGAAGTTCCTAACTCCTGCTATCTTTGTAAGAGCCTGACCAGACCGAAAAATGAGTACTGATTCCATATATGACCAGGAGTTTCGCAGTTTTCACTTCCTTGTCGAGATAGAGTGTAAAAGTGTACAATCCCTTTTCAACGGATGAAATGTTGCAAGTCTCTCTCTACTCTATCGATATTTCCAGGGGAAAGTGTTCAGACGAACTAAATTCCTTATTTCCACCTATTCTAACCTCCACAGTTAAAACCCTACATGCAGGGCACATTGAAGGATACTATCCTCATTGTCTTTTTTAGCTATATTTGTTTCCCACAAACCCTCTATTTCGTGAAACTGACTCCTAAAAGGTTACTTACCGATTACTACAATCAATTCAAGATTCGTAACTATTATTTTCCCCACACCCACATACCTCCTGTGCCGATTACCTTATACTCTACATCATTGCTTCTCAAACTATCTGATATGGCGGACAGGCATTTCTTTTCTCATTGTGTTACGTATCTGTAATATTTCGTGGTAATATTAATTTATACCGGAAACGATATAGATAATGAATACAATAAAAGTTGACTATTTTTTATCTTCCATTTAAAAAAAAATGATCCAGTATCAAAACATATAAAAAGTAATAAAAAAATAAGCTTCAAATGATTCTTTAGTATGGCCTGGACACTGGCCGCGTACCGGCAGCTAATGTTTTGCGTTCCAGCAGTTGATGGTTCGCGTACCGGCAGCTGATGGTTCGCGTACCGGCAGTTGATGGTTTGCGTACCGGCAGATGATGGTTCGCGTACCGGCAGTTGATGGCTCGCGTACCGGCAGCTGATAGTTTGCGTACCGGCAGATGATGGTTTGCGTACCAGCAGCTGATGGTTCGCGTACCGGCAGATGATGGTTCACGTACCGGCAGATGATGATTCGCGTACCAGCAGTTGATAGTTCGCATGCCGTCAGTTGATGGTTTGCGTACAAGCAGTTCATGGTTTGCGTACCGGCAGCTGATGGTTCGCGTACCGGCAGTTGATGGTTTGCGTACCGGCAGCTGATGGTTTGCGTACTGGCACCGATCTGCGGAGCACCATTTTGAGTAGCACTGCTCTACAGGGATTGGCTCTTGGATCTTGTGCAAATGAGCATTATTGTAAAACAAAATACTTTCTTCAGGAAGATATTTCGTTTCTGTATCTTATATAAACACTGTGCCAACTGCATCTCTTAAACAGTTAAAGTTGTGGCTGCCAATAAAAAATTCCTTTCAGAATCACCTCATTGCAAACGTTAAAAAAATCCCGTAAGAAGACACATCATTAACCTACACCCCTTTCTATTTTTTTTGTATAATTACTTGATTCATTATCTAGCATATAGTGGCAGTTCACTGCCAGTATAAATATATATTATTCTAATATTCTTCCTAAATATAGCAAAGATGACCTGGCAGTTCCAACAGTTCTTTGTGACGTAGTTTATCAGAGGCTTTTGCATAATCAATAAAACATCGGTATACATCGTTTTGCATTTATTTTCCTGTTATTCTGAACATATATATCACATTCTTTGTTTCAGTGTCTTTAACGAATCCACACTGTTCTTGTCCTATTTCCGGTCTGATTTTACTGTGCAATCTATTCACCAGATTTCGGATAAGTTTTGTTATATTGCTTCATTAGGCTGATTGTCCGATAGAATTCACATTCGTTTGCACCTGGTTTCTTAGGCATCACTGTGAAAATGGTTCCACTTACCTCTTCCGGTGTCAGTTTGGTAAAACTTAATATCGCATATTAGCTTTGAATCTGTCTAGTTACTGTTCCTATAAAAGTGGGAAAAAAATTCACAAACGCGCTCAGGAATATAAACAAAAGAAAATCATTTCGAAGGAAACTTGATAATATAGAAAAGGTTCTTTTTCTTTCATTTTGTTTTGTACAATATCAGCATCCATTTGGGTTACTTAATTCCGGAATCTAAATATTTTGTAGGCAATTTTACAACTTCAACTCTAGATATATTATACATAATCTTATACTTTCATAATAAATATCTATATTTTAAGATATATATATATATTTTTAGATCAAAATAATATACTTGGTAATTTTACTATAAAAATTTCACATATTTTGTGTTGCATTGAAGCCGAGTTCGAATTCCAATCGATTACATTCACTTACGTGCTAATACTCTTGGGAAAGATATGAATCAACCCCCCAGCTATGGGTAAATAGTAGGACAGACCAGATTCTATAGCCTTGGATCGCGACTAGTCTACCGCAGAAAGAAATGGTAACCGACTGCAGGAAAAAATCTGCCTCGTCAGTCATGTATCGAAAGATAGATAATTGCCTAAGCGTGTATTACGCATGGCACATAACTGATTAAGACGTAAGAGTGCAATAGCTACAGATTTTGTAATTAAACATTCCAGTTCGAAATCCATTTCGTGCTAATAACCTTGGGAAAGGTATGAATCCTCTTTTTCCCTCCAGCTATGGGTAAATAGCAAGACAGACCGGGTTCTTTAGCCTTGGATGGCAACTGGTCTACCGCAGAAAGAAATAGCAACTTACTGCAGGAAAAAATCTGCCTCGTCAGTCATATATCGAATAACTTACTGACTGACCTGTTAATACCCTTGGGAAAGGTATGAATCCTCTACTTATCTCCCCATCTATGGGTAAATAGTAGGACAGACCTGGATTCTATAGTCTTGGATCGCAACTGATCTACCACAGAAAGAAATGGCAACCGACTGCTGGAAAAATCTGCCTCTTCAGTCATGTATCGGAAGATAGATGATCGCCTTGGCGTATATTACGTATGGCACATAACTGACTGGTAGATTATCATTTTGCTATAAAAATTTATTGTTGGTAATTTATTATAAAAATCTACTGTTGATTTTTGATTTGGGGTTCACTATTTGCCCATTGCTTGGACCCTAACAGGTGCTACTACCCCGGGTGAAATTGGACTTTTGAACACCAGCAGTTAAGAGGTGGTTCTACGCTCATCAAAACCTTCAATCTCCCGATCAGATGTTTTGCTGCTAAATGTAGTTTATTGTCAGACCCAAGATGCAATTTATTTACTTGACCCCACAGGTTGTGACACAAGGTCGGTTTTTAAGGTGGGGTCCCGAGTATTTTCACTCGGTCCGCTGGTCTAAGCTGGTCTTAACTGGTCCAAGCTGATCAGAGATGGTCTAAGCTAGTCTTAGATAGTCTTGACTTGTCCTAGCTGGTCCAGACCCGAGCCGGTCTAAGCTAGGCGTAGCCGTGATCGAATCTCAGCCAAAGGCCGAGAAGCGATATGACCCAAGATGCAATATAGAAATTGAAATTAGAAAAGTTTTATCATATATGAACTACGAATAAAAATAACTTTACTACATAAATAAATATCACTTAATAGTTTTTTCGATATAGAATTTATTTTTTGAAGGACAACTGCTTAAAGAATTCAATAGACAATAGTTTCATGTGACAAGTTAGTTCACCCAGTGCACATATACACACACACATATCAACAAAAGTTGGATCATTGTGTCGTAGCAGGAAACTAGTTTGTCGTCAAAGTCCATCTTGCACATTTACAAATCTACCATTTGCCTCTGCATTAAATACTGCTGCCATATCTGCTCTAGTGTTCCTATTGTTCATCTCGAGATTCTTGACAAAATCCAAAAAATGGTCTGTAATGTAATCGATCCTGACTTTGCATATCGTCTTCAGTCACTTTCTCAACAACGTGGCGTGGTTTGCCTCTGGTTTTCTACAAATATTTTCTGATCAATTGGTCTACCGCAGAAAGAAATGGCAACCTAATGCAGGAAAAAATCTGCCTCGTCAGTCATGTATCGAAAGGTACATGATCGCCTAAGTGTGTATCACGAATGGCTCATAACTGTCTGAGTGACGTGTTAATACCCTTGAGAAAGATATGAATCCTCTTCTTCTCTCCCCATCTATGGGTAAATAGCAGGACAGATCTGAATTCTATACTCTTGGATCGCAACCGATGTCCCGACTAAATTAATTTAAGCATGCTAATAGATTGGCATCTAGGTCCCACTTGTTTACTGTTAAAATAGGTAAATTCCACCTCCACTTCTATTCCAACCTTTTCTTTTCTCATTAAATCTTTAAATATGCTTCCGATTTAAAACCAATGTTTTCCTGCCGCCAGTTTGAACTGATGTCGTCTTTTGCATACGATTCGTATATTCTGGAACTTAACAGAAAGCATGGACATTTTGGCAATATATTTCAGTAATATATCCACTTATAGAAATTATATTTTATAATTGTAGTTTAGCTATATTGGAAAATATCTTGAAATATCTATGACACATAATGAGAGAAGAAATGAAAAACTTTGAAAGCCAAAGGGAAGCAATGATTAACCTACGTAACAAGCTTCTGTATATGGTGGGTAAAACAGGAACTAAGGGGATAGTAACAATAGAAATTAAAGAAAAGCTACGAAAGTTAGGAAGTTGTGGAGAAACATGATCGCTCATACTTTGAAGGGGTAAAAAGGAAAATAAAAGAAATCTGACGGTGAGAGATTGATTGATTCTTTTTCTACTGTTTATCAACCCGTTACAGGTTACTAAAGGCCAAAAAATATTTTTATATTTTTTTTTTTTAGATAATAATGATTTAGGGATACAAGTCTTACTATTTAACCCTTAGTTAGGGGAGAAGATGAGGATTCATATATATATAGGTTTTTGCGCGTACTCGAATATAACGAAGCCAAGTTGGAATTAGAACTCGGATCCAAGCCATTACACCACCCGTACATCTAATCTTACAGCACCTTGTATTCTCAAGCAGTCACCTACCTAGGTACTAACCAGGCTCAAAGTTGCTTAACTTCGGTGATTGTACGGGAACAGGTTTTTCAACGTGATATTGACGTAAGCATGACGGTGGAAGAGTTTTGTTATTAATGAAATTGATTTTAAGCAAGGATATGAATTATACGGATCTTAAAATTTCTTGTATGTATCTGTTGCGAATATAATGAAGATTTTTTTTAAGCATTCACCCCTACCCCCGAAAGCAAGGCGGGAAGGCACTAGCACGCAAGGGGTTGCAGAAGATTTGGAGCAAGAGCAGATAGAAGTGATAAAGGAAAGGATGAGGAGAAGGGTAGTGGATAGATCAAGGCAACTGGAGATGTCGACTGACATTACATTTGAATAGCTGGAGATTATAGCTATCAGGGAAACAGGAAAAGGAGAGGGAGTTCCACAGACGAGAGGTGCGAGCTATGAAGCTATTGGAGTTGAAGAGACGGCTACATTTAGGAGTTTCAACAGTGAAAGGGTGAGAGCGGGATGCCAACCTCGTAGGACGCTTGAATTCATGAAGTCTGGGAACCAGCGAAAGCAGCTCATCAGAGAAATTACCATGAAAGTATTTGTAAAAAAAAGATAGAGAAAGGCGACGGTACGTCTGTGAGAGAGTGACTGCAGACGAGATGCCAGATCAGGGCCAGTTACATTGCATATTCGTCTCTGAATCTTATCAAGAACCCTGAGACAAACAATCGGTTGTTATGTTTATGTTATGAAAAATTAATGATTTGACTGCATTTCATGTATAAAAATGTAGATACTTGATGCTAATCATATCTGTGATGCTTTTGTTGTTATTTCAGATACTACGCAATAATATATCCAATGAAAGCGAAATATGTTTGCACGGCAAGTCGAGCAAGGAAAGCCATTCTCTTCATTTGGCTTCTATCTTTCCTCTTGGCATCTCCAATAATTGTTGGCAGAGTAAGTATGTTTTATTAATGATGATATTTCACGGTTTTATAACTATTATTTGAACTACAATTTATGTAGCAAACTTAGCAATTGGTCGAGGTGTGTCAGCTGAATCGAAATCACGAATGACTTAAAGAGTTCAGAGGACTCACATGACTTTTATATGAAGATTTTTCGACATAATGGTTTCGGCAAAGAGTATAAGATATTTAAAAGGTTTAGACAATATCTGGTAAAGTAATTGGTAAAGAGTATGCAAACGATCGTAGTGGTAAAAAAATTAAATTTTCACATTTCTATGCACAAAAATTCGAGATATTTAATTGGATTTTGAAACACTTCGTTTGTATTTGAAATGACTAAACAAAGCCACAAAAAACATTTTCTGAGTTAGATGAAACTTGACGAAGAGATAAAATCTACGTGCTTTATCGAATAGGAATTGCAATTATTTTGTGTTTCTTTCTACGCACAAAAAATAAACCGAAATATTTCATTTGTTTTTAAAACGTTTCCAGTTTGAAAAGACTAAACAAAGAGTAAAACACATTCAGAATTAAATCGCAAATGCTATGAGAGAAATTTTATAATGAGATCAAATCAAAATGTCGTGTCCAGTTGCAATTACGATTATTGTTCTTCGCATAATAAACATGACGAATAACCTTTCTCTTATAATCGACATAACCTTCTGAATAAAATTAATCCCATATCAATCGCAGAAGTGAAGAGAATTAAACTACGTAAAATTAATAGCAATTTAACAAGGCTATAAAAAAATATCAACATGAAATTTCACTACTGGTTTATGTTATAAATTATACAAGTCAATGATTGTAACTGAACTTTCATGTTAATTATTTAACATAAATTAGTCAAATGTATGACAGGTAGTTAACTTAGCATAACCAGAAGAAAAACAATTCCCACAAACCAGCCGGAAGATACTAAAAAAATAAAACGTAGATAATTTTAGTTTTGACGTAGAAAGTATCAAATGGGAATTTGGAAACACTTACAAATTTCAAGAAGTAATTAATTAATTATTATTATTATTATTATTATTAATTATATTATTGTTGTTGTTGTTGTTTTTGTTGTTTCATTTCCTTTGATTTCTGGTTTGTACTCATTTCTTTTCGGGTCCCGCCCAGAGTCCTAAGGTCAGAAATGGCAGAATATTTTCCACTGAGCAGTTAAAAAAAAAACATATTTTACATAATTAAAGCCCTTCATAAGGTGTGGGCTGTTCTTGTGAGAAAATATTTTGTATTTCTTAAAGGCATAGGCTACATTCAATGAGTCTATTGTAATCTTTTCCAACCAATTCCGAGGGCTCCAATCACAACAGGGATTGTTGATGTTCTCATGTGACACATTTTTGAGATTTCGATTTCAAGGTGCTTGTATTTTGATAGCTTTTTGAAGATCTTCAAAATTGCATTTCAGTCTGAAGGGACTGCCATATCAATAAGGAGGCAATTTTTCCACATGCAGATATTGACCCACTCTGTCATACCGTGTTTTATATTCAGTGGGTGCAAATACCGTGCAACCTGATACAAGAGGGTCAATTGTTTCTGGATATTTATCGCAGAATTTTCATTTTGGGTTAACACAATTTTTTAGTATGTGTGCTTGATAATTTCTAGTTAACAAATATTGGTCCAGTGCAGCACGAAGAAAACCTTTCGTTTCAGTTTTTAACCCTGCAACTACGTTGTCACTGATGGGTATAGAGTTTGTTTACCCCACCTTGTTTGGTACGGGCAGAGTATTGACCGAGAAGCGGTTTATCTTGTGATCGTTTTTGTATCTGGTCGATTGCATTTGCTTTAAGTATTTTGCGGCTTCAGTCGGTGTATTGTACTTGTATTTCTGCACCTATTTTAAACTTCATTTTGAAATTATTATTATTATTATTATTATTATTATTATTATTATTAAATACAGACTTTAATTGGTCATTAACCAATATATATGGTAATTGAAGTTGCTTACACAAATCCTCATGTTAAATGATATTTAAGATGTACAGTGTTTCTATTTTTATAACATTGATAATACTCTCCGCAGTAGGTGAACAATTTCATACAGTGCTATTCTTTTGTATATTTTGTAAACACAGGTTGCGCCATGTTAATTTTCCCCTGAACGTTTTTAGATCGGACCCAGGGCTCCGATTGATGCTGTTGTTGCGTGCGATTTACTGCAAGTTTTCTAATGCATTATGAAATGTATCTTTCAAAACTGATTTAAGGAATTAAAATTTAGTACAAAGTAAAACTTTATTACACTTGTACGCTTATTTACTTAAAATATTTATTAAAATATTTATTAAAACATTTAATATCAGTAAAAAGCATTTGAGATATTTAGGCTTTTTAAACTTTTGCCCAGGCGTTAAGCAAATCGGTTTCCTTTTTTGCTAGCATTTTTCAGCAAAAATAATCAGTGAAAATGAAGGATGTGCTCCTCTCTCTATTTCTTTCTCAAATTTTTTGGCCTCCAACCATATTTCTTGAGTATGTGCACTTGTGTTTGGATGAAAAAGGTGGCTTGATGGTTTATTCATTCAAGATGATAGTTGATATTAATTCAAGAGCGGTAGGCAGCCTACTAATAAGAATGGATCTGTAAAATGGAAAAGAAAAAAGCGTGTTTTCCAAATTGATCTTGATGCTTAGCCTTCTTTTTGTGTGCACCGAAAAACCTGCCGAGTTTCCCCTTTTCGGCTTTATTTAACTTTTTTTTCTGCCATAAACGAACTGCATTTATAGCATAGTTTCATTTCTTGCACATTACTAAAAAGGTTGCACTCTTTCAGAAATGCATATACACTCGCTTTACCAGATTTCTTGCTTTATGGAACAAACTCTCTAAAAAGACAGAATGCTTCCCTGGGAACTATAATATTAAACTCTTTAACTACACTGTCAACTGCTACCTATATTACACGTCCTCATAATATTCTCTTTGTTGTGATGTCTTCTTGCCTGTGTCGTAGAAGTTCTTTCTTCGTGCCGAGTGACGACTGACAAAGTAGTTGCTCAACTCTGTGCAAAATAAGACCATTCTTTTATGCCAGTTTTACTACACCTCCCGTAAGCGAACAGGTTTTATGCCCTTCATCGATCTGAGTCTTCTCTGAACGGGTCCATAACTTTCTTCACATTTCACTACCGTGCTGGGAACAATTTCGAAGCGTGTAGCGGTCTCAAAAGTTCCTTCAAAACAACCTAACGTTTTTGACGAAAGAGCTGTCGAACTGACTTCGTTTAAGCCAACTTTTCTTTAATTTAGGTTTGCTCATTTTACGCGGAAATTTATAAAGATTAGGGTCACATTAATCCAGTATCTATTTGCGCATGAAAAGTTACACCTTTCAATGTATTTTTTCTCTCTGGTACTTTTCTCTTTATACATTTTTTATCGCAAACGGCCAGCTCACTAGAGGCGGTGTCTCAATAAATCACTGTGGAGAGGACAAAGGAAAACCACTCTACTATCAATCACAAGAAATATCATGGCAGTTATCAAATATATCAGATATGAAAGTTAACGTCGTGAAGTGGGGTTAAATCTATGTGAATTAACTCCTCACCCGGTAAGCCACGACATGTGCAACAGGTGTCACCTGACCGTCATCCAGCGACATTTAGTATAAGCGGCGTAAAGGAGAAAAAAATCCTTGGAACAGATCCTTTCCTCGGTAAGGAGAGACATGAGTGACAGGTGTCACCTGACCGTAATCTGGCGACTGTTCGTAACAAAAATAATTCGTTAAACTTTAATTCGTTAGAACGTTAAACAACTGTGGCCAGCTAGAAAATATAAAACAGATGAATAGCTTAAATGTCAACATTTTAGGAGTATGTGAAAGTAAGTGTCCAAACAACGGAAATTTTATCTGTGACAAATACAGAATTGTATATGCAGGCGGAGAGAAAAATGAAAAAGGAGTTGGATTGATACTAGATCAAGACATGGAAAAATGCGTTCAGGGACACTGTCAATTATCTGAAAGAATTCTTGTAGTTAAATTTAAAGGAAAGCCTTTCAACATATCAATTATAATTATGTATATTCCGACAGCAAAAAGAACGGAAGAAAAAATTGAATCGTTCTACTCTATGCTAGAC